TTGACAATAAATTTCATATATAAATAAAAAAAAAAAGAAATAGAGAAATAAAAAAAATGTCATTTATGATCAGTAATAATTAAGAAGACATTATTCTATTATCTGTTGATGATTTTCATTTCCTCAAAGATAACAAAGTTAAATGACAACTATGCAAGCTTCAAATTCTGACTGGCTATTTTGTGCTGTGCTGTGTTCTGCAGTAGGCAGGAAAAAGATAAAGATACCGACCTTCCAGAATCTAACACTCTGGGGCGCCTGGGTGGCTCAGTTGGTTAAGCATCCGACTCGATTTCAGCTCAGGTCATGATCTCATGATTCATGAGATCGAGCCGTGTGTTGGGCTGCTTGCGTTTCTCTCTCTCCCTCTCTCAAATAAACTTTCAAAAAACAAAAAAGGAATCTTACACTCTAAGACAATGTCTAGACAAACCTAGACAATCTAGACAAATTATACCTAAGCCATAAGATTTTTATCAGCTGCTCAAGATACTTTTTTCAATTGAATTAAGAAAGCTCCTTGTTTTGGACGTGAGGAGACCATGCAGAAGCAACAGGGTACCACATAAACCATGAAAAGTTTATTACACATTGTGGCTACAGCCAGTCTTCCACAGAGCAATAATGATGATTATGATGGTGGTGATGTTTATATTCTGGAATCCTAACCTAAAATTTGTTTAAAAGGGTAAGAATATAAGGCTTTCTCCAAAGCACCCTGCCATTAAAGGACTGCTTGAACACTATGTGCACCTATGTCTTTCAGACTTATCCTACAGCTGACATCACATTTAGGTTCTGGAATAGGTTCTCTGGACTTCTTAAAAAGCATAGTCAAGGGTTAAGCAATGAGGTAGACAGGATCCTTACCACAGATGCTCAGAAAGAGGGCCAGGTCTGCAACACGGATATAATGGTTTACCTACCACCACTTACTTTTCATAACGAGACAGACTTAAAGAACGAATCATCAGGTCCAAAAGCCCTTACTACAGGAAAAATTTGAGGCCAATAATCAACAGGTATCTAAGAAAATGCTTTTAAGACACAATGAAGCATAACTTCAAAGGCTGTGATCCAGATCCCAAGGTTGGCAAACAGGTAAGGACTGGCTCTTTTTACATGACTGACTACCTGCACCAGAGGCTTGGAAGAGACATTAACCATTACACGTACGATACTGTAATTAGCTTATAAAAGGCCAAGCTCTTTGTGTTCAAGATGTGGAAAAACTGACACTGGAACACATATAAGACACATCCATGACTGAGGCACCCAATCAAGTAAGTAGTTCCTACTTGCCACCACATATCTAGCATTGTAGCATCATCTTTTAGTACATCTAATAGTACAGTCTATATGCTTAACTTAGTTTTTAGTTTAGTTCTGTCCATTTGACCTGAACGTATAAATAGAAAACTTATGTGAAAAAATAAAATATCAAAGAACCTACCTATCCAACAAGTAACTCAACAGCTTTGTTTTTAATCTCTGATGCTTTTCTAACACTTACAGTCATATATACATCGTAATGCTGTCTATCTGCAGCCAGGTGGTCTGCTTCAATTTCTCAATCTGCCATTTAAACCTGTGACACTGACAAGTTACTTTATCTTTTTGTGCTTCAGTCTCATCTGTAAAATGGGGATAATAACAGAACCTACTTTATAAAGTGATTGTGGGGATTAAATAAAATACATATAAAACAACTGGAACAATATCTGTCACAAAGGTTCAATGAATGTTAGAATTTTTGAAAGCCAAGTTCAATAAATACAGTCTATCTGTGAGACTGAATACAGTATTATATACCCCTAACAGGTCTAGCAGCTGCATAACAATTTTACAGTGCTTTAGAGTGTCTGTAGCGTATAAGCTATTACTAATGACTTAAGGCACCATGCATGAAACATGCTGCCTCGCTCCTTACCAACACCACCCCCCAAAGAAGTGTTCCAAAGACACTTTCATTGTTCAAGTCCTATCTAGCTCACAAACACAAGGTGAATCACTAAGTGTCCAGAATTGTCCCAGTCCTGGTTTACTCTCTCTCTGCCAGAGGAATCAGAAGGAACAAAGAGTGGTCTCCATACCACTTTGAAAAGCTTATACTATCCAGTGAGTATTGTTGCTCACACACTACAAAGGCATTCAAGAATGTTTTTCTCCTACATTCCATGTGGCACTGAGGAAATTCTGGGCACTTGATAATGTCCCTGGAGAATAAAAAGCCAGTATTCACCGAATTACCGCTCTTTGCTGCCAAAGAACAATGGGACTTGAGTAATTTTCTCCTGTTATAGCAGAAATAGATAGGGCATGACTTCAACATTAGCAAAATGTGAAGATCACTCCAATGTGTACTTGTTCCATGCATCAGCCTGTGGGCTGGTCAGCATGGCTCCAGGCTTTGGCCGGAGACTATCCCTAACCCCTACCACTTCAGCTGTTAGAAAATGAGAGCAGATGAGAAACAGATGAGAAAGAGTGGCTCTGAACTATTCCCTCTCAACTTGGAAAAAATAAAAAAATAAAGCCTCAAATGTTTAATAATTCAAAACAAACTACTGGTAAATGCACCCAGTAAACCCCTTGAATTTCAAAGACGGGGGACCTCACCTTATTTATCAAGCACTTAGTAAGGGCCTTATTCTAGAATATATTCAGGAAATATGTTCAACAGGGACTGAATGAATGATCATGTATTCTACATAATTTCTATGTTCAACACACGGGTGTCTTGCTAATTATATTCCAATATACTCTCTTAGTTCTATGGATGACAAAAAACACATTACTAGTTTTTCCATTCCAAGCAATCTGTTAAAGGAAACATTACTTATAAACAGATTCTAAGCTATCAGGACGGTAAATTAAAAATGTACTTTCGTGTTTTGGGTACATTTTTAAAACCATTTGTCAGATTCTCATTCTGGCAGGATTCTTATGACTAGCCACATTACTTCTTGAGCTTAAAATGAATCTGTAGATTCTAGTTTCTTCCAATTAAGTAATAAATGCATATGGCTCTCGAACATTATTAGTTATATATGTCTTTAAGAAAATTATGAAATATGTTTTCATGTTCCATCTGGACAAAAATAACTTACTTTCCTACTTCTTAAAATACCCCACTGGTAGGTAAAATGACTGTTTCCATATTACCTGGCCAGATCCAGATTATTTTTTCCAGCAAAGGACCTAGTCACACAGAATACACTAACTCTAGCCAATCTAAATACAGTGTCCCCTAAAAAACCTAATAAAGCAATGCTGTGATGTTAACTACTAAGATCAAGTTATTTCTGAAAAGATTTAGAGCACGAGGAATTCCAGTATCTGTCATACATTTTCTGCTTTAGAAAATCTGTGTCCGTTTCTGAAAAGGGAAATATGCACAAACGTCCTGGGAGATGGGTGTGTGTCTGTGTGTGTGATACGAGGACCAAATCACAGCTTAAGTCTCCAAATCTGTCTTAGCCTAAAGAAGACAGATTCAGTACCCACACTGGGGGTTAAAGAAGAGGGGCCAATTTTTGAAACAGTCTCTCCAAGGTTGACTAAATGCCAAGTTTACCTGACCTTGAGGGTCAGTAATTGTACATCTTCTAAGTTCAAACATTTTGTTAGACATCCGAGACGTTTATGCTTGAATTTTACCACTTCCAGCATATCATAAAAGATACCACCATTCATCTACAGCCCCCAAAACGACAAAATGTTTTCACTTTTGCTTACCGTCAATGCATAGAGCAGATGCAAGTAAGTAATAAAAAACAGAAACTTTTTCATCCCAGAGTTCCTCAATAGAAAATACAGTCTACAAAACCAAGAGTCACCTGCCTGGGAACCAGATCTTGTGTTTCAGTTCTGGAATTCTAATCACTAACTCCATAATGTTCTAGAAATCTGGTGAAGACCAGAATTTCCTAAAATACTGTTTGCTGGATACTGTTCTGTAGGATGCTAACGGATACTCAAATAAATTGGGAAAGTCTGGATTAAAATAAAGCTAAAATGGTTACTTTACTTGAAAACACTCACAGGGCTTTAATATGGTAGTAACACTATAAATTTCCAAGATAAAATTCCATTATGAGACCTAGAATAAACTAATTTGAGCAAGATCATGAAAGAGTTTGGAAATGCTTCAAAGAAGGCTGTTTTGTATTTTTTCTGTCACAACATTATTGAATACTTCATATCAACTTCTAAGAAGTTCTTACCTGATATGTGTTGCAGGCAGAGATTCATACTGGCGTGACAAAAAGAGCTCTCTATGTTTCAACTGATGTTTCTGTTTATCAGTCAAGTCCGCCTCAATTGTTGTTTCAGATTCTTCCTCAATTTCTTCTACACAAATAAAATTCAAAGAATGCATTATTACAAAGCACATTATCTATCTGGAAATTAAGACAGACCAACCTTTCAATATTTTCTTCAAACCAACTGATTTTATTATTTTTTATTTTAAATTTACATATTTAATTTGTTATTTGAGTTACAACCATAAAATAACATTAACCAGGCCACAAACAAAGATGAAGAATTCCAATTTTAAAATGGCAGATGGGGGCATCTGGGTGACTCAATCAGTTAAGTGTCTGACTTTGGTTCAGGTCATGATCTTGCAATCCCTGAGCTGGAGCCCCGTGTCGGGCTCTGTGCTGACAGCTCAGAGCCTGGAGCCTGCTTTGGATTCTGTGTCTCTCTCTCTCTCTCTCTCTCTCTCTCTCTCTGCCCCTCCCCCAATCATGCTCGCAGGCTCACGCACTCTCTCTTTCTCTCAAAAATAAACATTAAAATATTGAAATAAAATACAATTAAGATGTACCAATATTTCAATGACAGTAAAAATGGAAGCAATAACGACAAAAACTTTTGACTAAAAAAGGTTTTAGAAGATGGAAAGCAGATAAAAACAAAAGAAAACAAAACAGAAAGTATACGCTTAGCCAAGAGAAGGAAGTGACAATCTATATATGTATAGACAGATGCAAGGAAGACGCAAGCGCAAAGCTTGAGGTGCCTTAACCCTCAAGTTACCAAAAAGTACAGTGAGAAAGGAGGAGGCGAGAGACAAAGCCAGGAGGAAAGGTTGCAAGCCCATCTACAACACTGTAACTAAATCCCAGAATACTCTATTTTAAAAAGAGAACAATCAGAAAACAAGAAATAAGATAATACTTTTTAATTTGATAACACAAACAAAAAAGCTAATAGAAGGGTTATAAGGTACTAATTAGGAAATCTCCCAGAAATTTCAACACTAAGACATAGAGATAAATATGTGACAACCAACAGATTTTAAAAAATTAAAAGATACTTTATAAAGTCCAACATCCCAGGAATAAAAGTTCCAGACAGAAACAATAGGGAAAACACATTTCATTATCTCTTTTGGTGGGGAGAGGGAGTGGAGGAAGACTTATCAAAGAAATGATTCAAGAACATTTCCCCTTACTGAGGAAGAGGACCATCCAAACTGAATTTCTGGCACACTTTATTTAAGTGCTAACATGAGATCACGAACGCTTACAGAAAAGAAACATAGGTCACATGCAAAGAAACTAGAATCAGTGTGGAATTATACACGAATAGTAATACTATTCCATCCTAAGATGCTAAAGCAATGCTACCCAAGAGGGAAAATGACAGTCAACCTAGAACCATACTTGATTTTTTGTTTTGTTTTTAATTTGAGAAAGAGAAAGTGCACACATGAGCAGGGGATAGGAGCAGCGGGGCAGAGGGAGAGAGAATCACAAGCAGGTTCCAAACTCAGCACAGAGACCAACATGGGGCTCAGCTCTGGGATCATGACGTGAGCTGAAATCAAGAGTCAGACACTCAACCGACTAAGCTACCTAGACGCTGTGCTTGTAAACTGTAAATTATTTACCAGTCTGGAAACAGAGTAAGAACAACCTTTCTTTCATTCAACCAAGATTTATTAAGTGCCCAAACAGGCACTAGTTGAAGTGTTGGAAACAAGCCATGAGCAGAAGTTATTGAGAAGCAGCGTTGGAAGCAAGGGACAGGAGACAGCAAAGTTTTACATAAGTTTTAAAAAAACTGTATTTAGGGGTGCCTGGGTGACTCAGTCAAGCATCCAACTTTGACTCAGGTCATAATTTCATGGCTCGTGAATTCAAGCCCCAAGTCAGGCTCTGTGCTGACGGCTCAGAGCCTGGAACCTGCTTCAGATTCTGTGTCTCCCTGTCTCTCTGCCCCTTCTCCACTTGCTCTTGGTCTCTCTCTCTCTCTCTCTCAATCTCAAAAATAAACATTTAAAAACTAATATTAGCGGCATCTGGGTGGCTCAGTTGGTTAAGCCTCCGACTTCGGCTCAGGTCACGATCTCACGGTAAGTCTGAGCCCCAAGTCGGGCCTTGCACTGACAGCTCAGAGCCTTGAGCCTATTTCAGATTCTGTGTCTCCCTCTCTGTCTGCCCCCTCCCCCGCTCACACTTGGTCTCTCTCTGTCTCTCAAAAATAAATAAATGTCAAAAAAAATTTTTTTAATTACAATAGTAATAAAAATTTAAAAGCTGAATTTACTAATCTTATTAAAGGGGTGTCTGGGTGACTCAGTCGGTTAGGCGTCTGACTTCAGCTTGGGTCATAAGCTCACAGTTTCTAAGTTCGAGCCCCATGTCGGGGTCTGCACTGACAGCTCAGAGACTAGGGCCTGCTTTGGATTCTTTGTCTCCCTCTCTCTCTCTCTCTGCCCCTCCTCTGCTGCCCCTCTTCCGTTCACACTCGCTCTCTCTAAAATATACATTAAAAACAAAATCTTTTTAAAGAAAAAAAATGACCAGTGTCATTTACAGATATAATTCAAAATAATTTTAGATACAAAAATTTCTTAATATAAAAGCTCTCAGGGCTCATAGATCCTCTTCAGTCTTACTTGGACCAGACTGTGTGGGAACATCAGGGGCACTGAGGACTCAGCCAATAATACTACTGGAAGGGGGTGGCGGTGGGGGTGGGGGGTTGCTCTTCATGCAGGAAGAGTTTAAGTTTAGGACTCAGAGACTTTAATTTTGGGACACTGATAGGCAACACACACACAGAGACACAGAGAAATATATACACGTGTGTTATATTTCTCCCTATTCTTCTAAGTTCCTATTTGGGGACCCAGAACCACAAAAGGGATTTTACCACATATAATTCTCTAGTTATAGCAGAGCTTTTGAACTGCATAAGGATAATGAATGGGCTAAGCATCAGATCTTTTCTACAGTGCTTTCAAATTTTTAAAACTCTTTAATTGAAAATGAACCTGAAAAACTGACTTAGAGAAAGATTCACCCAGCTCCAAAAAAAGACTAAAATGATTTAAAATTCTTTGAATATTCTTTTTAATGAACTACTCAAACAGAAACACAGCCCTAAAAGAGCCATTTACTTGCATAGGCATTTCACCAGTGGAATCAATGAAGTTACTGCTGCATTAGCAATATCAGCACCAGCAAATACCACGTATCAAATTATACCCTTTACTTAATTAGGATTTGATAAATTGTTGTTCTGTAAAACACAAGCTAACTGAATTCTAATGTGTACCCTGTACAGCTGAAACCACAACAAACTTTACCAATAAGAGCAGCAAATCTTATTCCCTTATACAACCTCTGACTGCAGGGTGAAAAGGCCTAGAATCTCTTACGTGCAACCACAACAAAAACCGAAATCACAACAGTACCTAAAAGTCACCTTTCAAAATGTACTTGTTAAACTTCATTTACCTATTTTTATAAATTTACATTGGCTTCTGAATAGGAATGATTCTCAAGCCATTAAATCCTAAAAACATTAAATGGTCACAATGGCAAAACAGGCATTTAGGCAATGAAAAATTTAAAAAGACCTAATATAATTATCATCAGAAATTGAGTACATGGTAATATATTCCTAATTTTTCTTAAACCGTTTTACCAAGCTGATGAACCATCAAATTTGCTACCTTCTAACAGTTACTGAAGTATAAGTCCCATACTCTATACAGTGGTAAGAGAGATTGATACCAAATTAGTTACTATACTTTCTTTACAGCTGCAAAACTTTCCATACAGTTTATTAGTAATAAGGCACTGTCTGGAAGCATAGAGGGGAGAAAGAGTAGAGAAGGAAACTGAACAATGGGGATTGTATAAAATTTTAAGGAGCAATATAAATATCACTATCCTTAATACTGGTACCTTCTGGGACACCTGGGTGGTACAGTAGGTTAAGCGTCCAGCTCTTGATTTGGGCTCAGGTCATGATCTCATGGTTTTTGAGTCCTGTGTCAGGCTCCATGCTGACAGCACAGAGCCTGCTTGGGATTCTCTCTCTCTCTCTCTCTCTCCCTCTCCCCCTCTCGCGCCCGCTTGCTCTCTTCTCTCTCAAAATAAATAAACTTAAAAAAATACTAATATCTTCTGTTTTAGTAGTATGGGCCACATAATACACAACCCACCAAGGCTCTTACAAATTTCAAAGTTTTAGACTGCAGGATGAGAAAGAAGCCATGGCCAAAAATCTCAGCAAGGCTAATTACACATGCAGGCTGAGAGGGGATGGGACAAAGTGAGTACAAACACTGTCCAAGAAGTGGGGATCAGAGAGCAAATCAAACTAGCCAAATAGTCCAGAGTATCAGAACATCCAGCTATGGGATTTGGGAGATCAGTCTTCTCAGCAGTAGGTTACAATCAGGAACTTGGGCAAAGCTCTAAAGAATGGGCATGTGACATACACAAGACCAGAGCCAGCCAGTGATGAATTTAGGTATCTGAACAAGGGACAGAAGGGAAGGAAGGAGCAGTCATTACTGATTCTAGGTACTTCTGGACTTGAAACTGGGTGTTCTTCAGAATAGACTGGCATTCTAATAATTCCTACCAGTTAGTTGGGAGGTGTGGAGGGGGAAGTAGACAGGAGGAGAGCCCTCCACAGACTTTTCCCAAGCTTCCTTAGGTCTCTATTTTAATGGAATAGCAGCCCACAATGATAAGATGTTACTGGTACAGACCGTACAGAAAAGCAGGTGGTTAAAAATTTGTCTGTAGATGCATTTAACAAATATCCAAATGTTTGAAGGCATATTATTGGGACTGAAAATAGCTCAGTATTGATGTGACTCAAGTTTGCCTAGTAAGAAAAAAAGTTCTGAAAAAAGGAATAAGCAAGTTGAATAAAATTAGAAGGATTTTGTGACAATTGAGATTTCAGGAAACTATCTGAAGGAAGAAAAACAGTTTGACAGTTTAGAGACAAATAATCAGTAAAGAAAAATCAGTTATATTTCCATCATTAGCAATGAAAAATCCAAAACTGAAATTAAGAAAACAATTTCGGGGCACCTGGGTGGCTCAGTCGGTTAAGCAT